AAACCTGAAAATAATGGCAAGTATGAATGTAAAAGCCGGCGTGAGGTTGCTGATGGAAGAAGCAAGTGTTGGGGAGCTATACTCTATGCCTTTATATCCCAATATCTGCCCAAAAGACCTGCACAAAAAGATAAACTAATCTTGATTTTGATCCATGAAGTATTTTTTTCATGGTTGAATCTCTACAAACAAGGAATTGTAGAAGAAGGCAAAAAGATACAGCTTTCATGTGGAAAAAATAAAACTTCAACATACCCAATAAACGCAAGGAGGCAGATTCTGGAAATGAGAGGGAACCTGAATGAAGGAAGAACTGCTGAGCTGTGGGGAATCAAAAATCAACAAGGGTGTCAGAAAGTAGCAAATTTTTGTCATTTTTGCTGCAAAGAAATTTATGATGAATATAGATGGACGAAACTTAGATGACCTGGGAAAGATGAAGAGGAAAGGTATTAGAACAAGGGTGGAAATTGCAAAGGAATATGCGTTGAAGATGTTGTAGCTCATTCCCCTCAGCGTGGCTGCTTTGAACAGAATGTTTAAGCCGACGGTGGAGCATTCTGCTCCAACCATGGCTGCAAATGGCAGCAATTCACTGCAGCAGTACCTTCTTGCCATTGACCATCTCTGTTTCTTTGTTCGTGTCTCAGACCATTATGTGCTAGGATTTTGTGCACGAACAGTCCTTCAATGTTTTTATAAAATGCAATATCATCCTAAAATTTTTATTTCAAGCAATCAGGTCCTTCATATTGCAAAATTACCTCAAACAGAACTCGGGAAGGTACGTCCATGGTAGCCAACCTGAAACGGAAATAAAAGCTGGATACTCTACTGGATTAAACTAACTAAGACTACACAAAGGAATTCATTGCATCACTTTCGGTCTTTTGTCAGTAGAAGGACTCAACTGCTAAAAATAATAGGTTGAGGATGTCATTGCATTTTAGCTTAAAGCACAAAGACAATTCAAGCACTTAGTCCACATTACAAAAACAGCACAACTTTGCGCAATTATTACGTTTTTTTCCCCCAACCGTGTGGTCCCTCACTCTGAAAGGCGGATGGTTGTCACATTTTTATGGTGGAGAATGGAGTAAGATTAAGAGGTGCTCTCCTCTCAATCGCAGTAGGTGTTACCAAGTAATTTATGTCGGTCTTAAATGGGTTTTGAGACAGGTAACATTAACATCTTACAACCAGTTTATGTGGATGGTATATTAATTTCTTATCGTTTTTTCCTAGAAACTATGTCAATTAGTTAGGATCAAACCAACTCCTTGAGATCGAATGATTTGTCAATAACTGTATAAGATTAAACAACCATCATTCATGTCTTTGTTAGTAAAGAGAAACGATACAGAACTCAAGCATCGTTGAATTTAGTCCAGGTTCTGATATTTTCTACCATTGATCTTTTTGCTAGATATTTTCAACTTTATAGCTTCTGCAACAAAGGATGTTGTTGGTCATCATCCACCATTGCTTTTTCTTTTGCTTTTCCCCATATCACAGCATAAAACCCAGTGGCTATTATTACAGCTCCAATCACACTGCAATACCAGGATGAAAAGATTATACATAAGAGTAGAAATATAAAACCATGAACAAAAAAATAGGAGAGTACCTTCCAAGATACAGAGCATCCCCTAGG